TGTCACTCCAATTTTGTGCCTTTACTGCTTCAGAAAAGTAATTAATAGAACACCAAATTGTACCATATTAGTGGATAGTGGCTATAAAAATATTAAATAAAACAAAAAGAATTATTCATATATATTTCATCTAGTCATGTTTTTTCTCCTTTACTTTTTCTTCTGTAATTCTCTTACTTTCCCCCTTTTCTACCTTTTGTCCTTCCTACCTTCTTTTTTCCTTCTTTCTTTTCTTCCTCACTTCTTTTCTTTCATTGACTTTATTTTCCCTTTATCTTCCCTCTGTCATCCATATACCCATTTTTCCTTTCTGCCTCTTTTTCTCTTTTGCTTGCTTCCTTCTGCCTCCTTTCCTCTTTTCTTTTTTTTCCAATGCATTCATCTAGCTGTTGACTTTTCTCCTTCCTTCACTTATCTTCATCACTTCTTTCTTTTTGCTTCATTTCCCCCTCTTTCCTTTATCTGTTCAGTTTTCATTTATATATATTTTTTTACCATTTTTTGTCATTCTCTTAATTTTCCCCTTTTCTACCTTTTGTCCTTCCTACCTTTTTTCTTCCTCACTTTTTTCATTCACTTTTTTCCCTTTCTATATTTCTTCCTTCCATCATCCATATCCATTTTTTCCTTCTGCCTCCTTTACTGTTTCTTTCTTTCTTTCTTTTCATTTCTATTCATCTAGCTGTTGATTTTTTCCCATTCCTTCTCTTATCTTCATTATTTTTTCTGTTTGCTTCCATTTCCTTTTCTTTTATCTGTTCAGTTTTCAGTTTTACAATGTTTCTTTTTTCCTTTCTTTTGTCATTCTCTTTTTTCCCATTTTCTGTCTTTTCTTTTATTCTTTCTTCTTTGTTCCATCATTCATCTATCCATTCTTCTCGTTACTTTCTCTGTTCTACTTTTTCTTTTGCTTATTTCCTTCTCTCTCTCTCTCCCTCCATCCCTCTCTTTCTGCTTTTCTTTCTTTCTGTTATCCATCTCTTTAGAGAAAGAGAGAGAAAACTCCCACTATCTCTCTTCTTTTTGGAGCCATGGCAAGCTTCCAGTGACCAATGGCTTTTGTTTTGATCCCGTATGTGTTTTCGTATCTCCTTTATTTATTCATGACAGTCAGCAGCCGTGCAGAGCAACACATATTAGCAGCACAGAGTTTGGCCTCTTTTAAAAACGCCTCATCCTCTCCTTCGTCGAATTTCTAAAACAATTTTTTTCAAAGCTTGAACGTCACTCTAAATCTACCAGCCATCTGTGACAATACTGCAAACGCTCACAAGTCACTGGATTGTAAATCTTTTTAAAGAAAACTATTACTACTTTTCTTCAAGGCTGTGATTTTCTGGTGAATGAGGTGACAGACTGTGACGTTGTTAATGTCAAAAAATTCTGATGAACAAGAAGCAGTTTAGGAGCAGTAAACAATTTCAGTAAAAAGCTTTCCTTAAACAAAGAAGTGTCTGCTTTTTAGATGACACAACATGAAACTTATTAACCAAGAGAGATTAATTAAAGTCGGGTATTAAAGTCGATATAAAAAGGTGTTAATAACTTATTTTACTTCTACTTAATTTTCAAGTGAAAGAAGATATTCAATGAGAATGCATTGAACAAAATGTTCAATTAAAAAATAAATAGGATGGAACTTGATTTTATGCATCAGGAATTGATTAGGCTGTAAAAATACAAGTGGAGCAGAAGGGTTATCCTAAATCTGTGACGTCGGACAAAAAATCTTCAGACGCAGCGCAAGTTGAGTTTAATTTGTTGTTCTGATGTGAACACTAAAGAGTTAACTCTCTGCCTTATGTTTACTTCAGCAACTATCACCCCGTGGTCATCTGACCAGGTCACTACGGTCTCATGACACCGGTGCCCATCACAGTGTACTCAGATGCTCCTAATTGCTGTCATGTTTCCTCGGGACATACATGAGTATCTTCTGCAAAAGACATGACCTTGCTCACCTTTGTGGGTATGTGAATCCAAATAGCTGCGTTGAACAGGATATGGTCACAGAGTTGTTTGAGAAGAGGCGCACCGTGGGTAAGGCCATTCAGGTATTTGGCGAAAGCGAGGAACTGCTCCAGAACGGCCCTGGTGATGTGCATTCGAGATGCCTGAGAAACAATTATGAGATTTTTGTTTACCAAACCAACCTGTAATTCTCAGTTTCCTTAAAAAAAAAAAAATGAACCAACCAACATCTGAAGCCATCGTTTGACTTTGCAGCTAAACAAAGACTTTAACTTTGTAGCGAGTTTGTGTGTTATTAGTCTCAGCTGGCATCTGAGGTCCAGACAGGTGCATGGTGTGAGACAGGAGTGAGTATAAACGAGACACAAACAGATGGCCGGCTACGTGTGAATGGGACGCAAGGCAGCGGGATCATTCAGGTGTCGTCTAGCTCAGATTTACAGCTGCTGCTGTTAAATGACAAAGTGAGTCTTTTTACTCAAGAGCCGACTTCAGATGGAGCCATGGGTATATTGAGACTATGAAATAAGGACAGTTGTTAATAAGTAAAGCATAAAGCATAATGACACTGGGTTAATTTGTATGACATTGCAATAAACCCATGAACAAGGAGGAATATAATAGCGCTGTTGAACCAGCATTCACCATGGAAATGCTGAAGTGGGCGTTTGTCATTCATCAACCATAATGCACCATTTCTCCTCTGTCCTAGCAAGAGAATTTTGTGCGTGTTTTTTTTTAATTCAGCTCATGCTTACAAAAGCTTGAGTCAAGCAAGGTCATGACAACTCCTTCAGAAAAGTACAAATCTTAATACTCTTATAGCCTTTTAAAGAAAGGAGCAAGTATTTGTGAATTGAGTAAAAGCACAATTTGTCCATTACACATCAAAATCCCTTGAAGTTTTGCAGTTTAAGGTGAGTTTAGTGTTAAAATACATTCTCTTATCCAAATTAATGCACAAGTATAAGACATTCATAAGCTGATTTCCCCAAAGAGTGTAAACAATGTGGTGCTTTAAACATTATTCTGTTTATTTGAGTGGCCCAACATAATAGCTATGGCCTAATCAATGCTCCTGGCCGTAGAACTACCAATTTGTCTGAACAATGGTTGGAGAAAACCTATTTGGAAAAAGTTATTTTTGCAATTCCGTTTTGTGCTGCTAACTGCGCAAAAATTACACACTTCAACTTTAACCAATCTAAATTGTATGTTGGAATAAGAAAAACAAAGAATACAGAGACATCACCTTTTCCAGCAGGTACCCAATCACCAGGAAACCCTTCCCACCAAGCATCTGCTCTTGCATTGCCACTGAGCTCTTGAGTAGCTCGAATAGGAAGGCCAGGAGAGAGGAACTGCACAGAAAACATTTAATTACACAACTATATGGGTAACCACTGCAGATTCAAAATGAAAGACTTGCTGACTAAATATTGATGGAATGAATGGTAAGAACATCCTGTACTTGATATATTGCTTAGGTTATTGGCTGATATTATTATTATAATTTTTTTTTTTCATTTATCCGTATCAGCTAATATTGGATATTTTATTGTGGATTAATTTATATTTAGATTACCTTTGTCGTCATCTAAAACTAACCTAAAGTTAATGTTTAAAAACACTAATATTTAATAACACCGTTAAATGTAATCTTTAACAAATCTCAAAATGAATATTAATTTGGATGCTTAAATTCACTACTGATTTTAATTTAATAGTGTTTTATTTTTTAATTATTTGACATAATAGTATAGAATTTTAATATCTAACATTTACTAGTTATTGGCCATAAAATACAAAAACATTTTTAAAAATACTACCGTTCAAAAATTTGGGGTTGGTAAGATTATTTCATGTTTTTGAAACATTGAAGCATAACAAGGGTGCATTAATTAGATCAAAAACACAGTTAAAACAGATATGATGGAAAATAATATTACAATTTAAACAAAACTGTAATTTATTTCTGTAATGCCAAAGCTGAATTTTTAAATTTTCATTAAAATATGCTATTTGATTAAACATTTCTTATTATTATCGATGTTGAGAACAGATATGCTGCTTAGTATTTTTGAATATTGGGATTTTTTAATGTTTGATTATTTATTTTAATTTTTTTTTCAGGATTTAAAGAGTAGATTAGTCAGCATAAAGAACAACATTTATTTGAAATAATTGACTTCAATCAGTTGAATGCATCCTTACTGAGTAAACGTATTAATTTCATTCAAAAGGTGGAAATGATGTTACTTACCACACTGTGGTCTCCACTTGGCTTTCACTGTGCTGATGGAAATCCAGCTGTGCAAAGAGAGGAAACAGCACCTGGATACCGCCAATGGAGTGAATGGCACTGTGAATGGAGTGTGTAACGATGGCCTTCACATCCTATATAGAAAGAGAAGGAAAAAATCAAATGGATTAAAAAAGTAGTGGTGGATGCATTCAGTAATTTTTTGCCACTGTTAAAACTACTGACTCACATTAAGCACTGACTAATCGCAGCGGAAATGTGTTCATCCAAACAATTAACACTGAATAGCAAACACTGACATTATCTTGTGGTGTTAGCTAAACAATGCAGCATCTGATTAACATTTAGTGACATTACCAACCATTATGTGGTTTATTTAGCACTAAGAAAGTAGAACGCAGTCTTAAAGCATTAAGCAGACATTTACCTGTAGCATTAGAGCGTGAGGCGAATGCACGAATATGGACGGGTTTTCTCTGGGGGAGGACTCCAGGCAGAGCTGAGCGTCTGTGGCTTTGGCGTTGTAAGTGAAGGAATTGCTGTTTGCTAGCTTCCCATCATACAACACTTGCTTATGGTGGTCAGCCAGGTGGATGTCGCTCTCTGATTTAAATTTAAAGGTGCTCTAGGGAGGTAAAAAAATAATGATAAAGGGATGGATTAAAAAGAGAAATATAGACCAATATAGAAAGAAAATCTGGTCTTAATTTGCCTCTAAACAGTGCATAACACAAGTGAGACATGTCAAGTGAGACAAAGGTGAGAGAATTAACCAAATATGACAATGTATATTTAACACGTCTTAAAATAGTACCTCTATGTAAATCGTATTATTCTGTAAGGATTTACAATTCCTAGCATGAAAAGGAGAAGATTCTTTTTATGCAGTGATTAAATCTTATCCAAAGTCGTGGGAGCATGATGAATAATAAATGAGCTTGGTGGCATGAAATAATCATGAAGATGAAGTAGGGGCAATGTGGGAATTCCCCGGCTGAATTATCATTTATGAGGTTGTTTTGTGTGCTGTCAAATCAAAGGCCTGCGGCCCAACACCTGCAGTACATCCCAGGTGATGATGTCATCCAGATGTAACCTGCTCCAGACGTGTGCTAACTGTGTAAATGTGCAGTAAGCAGACAATCCTAACAAGGCATTTTTAGAAAATCACCTGTGTTTTTATCAGCAGACACGCGCTTGATAACACTTGCATGAACAAAAACATTGTTTATAGTTTGTCATGTGACCAGGTAACATATATATGCACATATGAGCATGTCTGAATATCATAATATGCACAATTAAGGGCAGAAAACCTTATTTTCCCCAAAGATACACATTAAAACATGGACTATGTTCAAAATTTAAATCATTTTAATATGCTGATTTGAAACATTTCTTATTATTTTCAATGTTGAAAAGAGTTAAATATTTTACTACATATTTTTGTGGAAATTGTCATAATTTGTTTTTCAGGATTAGAACATACAAAAACAGCATTTATAGGAAAGAGAAATCTTTTATATTATTATTACTGTCTTAACTGTCACTTTTAACCAATCTAATGCATCCTCGCTGAATAAAAAATATTAATTTTGTAAAAAATATTTCTGAATGGTATTTCATATTATTAATAATAAGATTTCATATTAATGGACTATGTTCAAGATTGAACACTAGTGCATCACATACTGCATACTGTGGAGTATATACTTTATTTCTTGCTATATTTGTGTAAAACAACACATAATTCAACAATAAATACTTCAAATAGTTCTGCACCACATTTTTGTTGTCATATGATATATTTCAATCAATTCATTCATTATTTTAGTAAATATAATCTAGGTTACTTGACATTTTTAATCAAATGTTATGTAAAATTGCCATAAATTTTATGTAAAATTAGGTTATACTTTATTTTAAGGTGTCCTTGTTACAGTGTAATTATACATTTAAGTACTGAGTAATATTAATTAACTACATGTACTTACTATATGATTAGGGTTTGGCTTAGGGTTACTTGCATGTAATTATGCATAATTTATTGTTATTATAATAGTAAGTACATGTAACATGTATAACAAAGACATCTTAAAATAAAGTATTACCTAAAATTACCCTAAACTCAAACAAAGACTAAAAATGAGATGTTAACAACTACTGATTTTATTTCCAATTCTGAACAGACATAAACCTCTGCATTCAGAAACGAACTACCTGGCCCTTTATATTCATATTTCATTATCCATGTACTAACTGTGCACCAGTGTCTGTTTAAAGATGTAGGAGGGTGTTTGTAATTAACTTGTTGTCGTTAGATTATTGCCATGTGGATACGGTTTCCAAGGCAATAAAATTGATAAAATTATTTTTTCCGCCCATATTTTTCCATTCACAATCTGTGAGCAAATGAAATATAGCATTATATGCAAACAAGTAATATCTGTTTAGCTGTTGCTTACGTTAGCTTTACTGTTACCTTTATTCTTTTCAAAATGGAGAATAGAAAGAGAAAAAGAAACACATACCAGATTTGCTGGTCTGTATGCTTATTTTGACCTAAAAAGATTCATGTTGTTTGGTTTATTCTGCTTGCTGAACAGAGATAGCGTAAATGTCACCTGTTGCTGGTCAGGTTGCTGCTGCAAACATATGATACAGCGCAAAACAAATCTCAAAATCCATCAGACGGACTGGAAAATAAATACCACAGCATGTTAATGCATGCTGACAGTTTTGCAAAAAAGCTGAAAGCACAGCATCAGAAGAAAATAAACCTGACAGAATGTCGGCGTAACGTCTGATACACTTTTGTCAGAATCTGATGTAATGCTCACATGTTTTCTCATAGTGAGACTTCACAGTAGCAATAGCGCATATGTCTTCCATGACAATAGGGAGAAAGACAAAGAAAGGGACTAGTACCGCTTCAATCCAATATGAAATACAAAACATACACACATATAAATGTTCTTTTTAAAGGGGTCAAAAACTGAGAAATCAAAATTCCCTTGATCTTTTGACAAATAAAAGGTCATCGTACTATAAAAACATCCTGTAAGTTTCAGAACTCAAAACTTTCTTGTTAGTCTAAAAACAGCTTATATTGAAGCCAATCTGCCAAAACCACAGCTTGTGGAATGTGTCGCTCTATGACGTAATAGAGCGGGTAAACCCCGCCTCCGCAGAAGAAGATCGACGCCTGCTTAGACATCACTGCCTGATTAGCTCCGCCCACTGATTCACGCATGTAGTGTAAATAACGAGAGAGGCAAATATGTACTGAGTTTGATATGTACTGAGTATTTATACTTTTTTTAACCTAAATCACAGCAGCGTCCATCCATGAAGGCTGTAGGCTGTCAAACATACACAACTGTTTCAATCATAGCAGTGGGCGTTTACTTCCGAGTCTACAATCTGCCACGCCTATTCAAACAGAGCGTTCTGATGAGGGGGGTCAAAACAGGACAGAAAATAGCCTATTACTGCTAAATTATGATGTATTTTGATGTACAAATTTTGATTATATGTGGACCTCAGAGAACAGTATAAAATAATAAAAAAGGCAGTTCATGACCCTTTCAACTTTATACTCATTAAAAAATCCTGAAAAAAAGTATCATGGTTTCCACATGAGCTCCAAATCAGCATATTAGAAAGATTTCTGAAGGATCATGTGACACTGAAAACTGCTAATCTGAGATCAAACCTGTTCATGCTTCAGTTAAGACAAGACCACAAGTCTGATTGGGGGTTAGTGTTTTTAGGCAGCTGCAACATAGACTGCCTTTTCTGGTGAGTCACGGCAATAATCAGGTCATCTTTAGATCAGTCACATAAATCACAGGAGACTGTGCGTGTCCGGGCAGGTACTCTGCTAAAAGGCTAAGAAGAGCCAACACACTACAGCCAACAGAACAAATAATGGTGTCAGACGTTGAGGGCAGGAAACAGAAGTCACTAAAGACAAGGGTTGAAAACTGGGGGGAAAAAACTACCTAACGAACTAACACGACTTGAGAACAACGAAACCAACCCAATGCAAAGCAAAGAAAAACACAAAACAAAACAAACGAAAGCAAAACAAAAACCGGGGAAAAAATCTAGTTAAGATTTATTGCAACTAACATGACTTGAGACCACCCAAACCAAGCCAAAGCAAAGCCAAAAAAAACAAAACAAGGCAAAACAAAACAATGACTGAATTCAGCAAATCATATGGAATATGTGTTATTCCACATTCATGGTTTCTTTTACAACTATTAAATATACTTGCATGAGCAGGCTCTAATAAAAAATTATTTTTGCACCCTCATTCTGTCATTCGTTCCACAAACACTATTTTAAAGGAGACGGTATTGCTTATAGTGGATCCATCACAATTAAAACCCCATTTTATAGCGTTTTTCATCAAATGGGGGCCAGGCCCTGTAGTCTAGCCCTGCTACATAAACTCTGAAGGCCTCTGCCCTATTACTAGACAAGGTAGATCAGCCCGAAGAGCTGACAGGCAGCCTGATAGCTGGCACTCTGCTGAAATATACAACCCCTTTTCAGATTTCGAGAGACTCCATTCACAGGTTCATCTGAGGTGGGTAATTGCTTTCTCCCCGAAGCAGACAGCTCATTGCTTCTGCCAACCTGCCCGTCACGACGACGTGAGGGGCAGCGCGAACCAGAGGTCTAGAAGCACAATTAATAAGGGAAATGACCAGCCCAAACTGATTAGAGAAAACCCAGTGCAAATGTCTACCAGGTAGTTTAAAACACAAAAGGTAAAAATAAGCAAAGTTATTAGCTTACTTGTCCTTGTAGATTACACAGCCCATAACTAAAACACTACTCTAATGGAGCAAAGACAATAGAGATGGTGAATTTGTAATTAAATTAGCAAAAGCTCATCATTCATAAACAATGGCTTTGAACCAATGTACATTTTGGGATACATATGCTATCCGTTCCATGCATGTGGTTTATTGTTTTAGATAATGAGTCACTAATCAAAGCCTGGTGCTTCAGAGAAAATTACACTTTGCACAATGAGATTGAAAAACTGCTGCGAGTCCTAATTACTAATATGACAGAGCTTCATATTTAATAAGGATACAGCATTGAAAAAAAATAATTCACAGTAACCTGCTCTGTTTACCCCATGGACACAATGAAACGCTAAATCACTTCAAAAGCACCTTGAGAATTAGTGCCAGAAACATGAAAAGGGAAAGAAAGACTATAAACTATCTGGAGCAAGACTTCATTAAGAAGCAGAACTGAGAAACTTTGGACAACAAAAAGAGTAAGGTTCATCAAACAAACGTTTAATAATAAGTCAATATGTAAATGCAGCATTTCACACTAGTGAAATCCAGTTTTGTAACATGGTAGCTGGACAATAATGACCATCTAGAAACCAGCTGAGATTTAGATCTCCAAAACGTGGTTATTTCCTCAGGGTGTTGAAGTCATGTTGGAAAGCACATTAATCAATAACCAAATGTCACCGACAAAGGAATAACATCTCTTGGAGATCAATGGTGACTGTGAAGTGTTGGTGTGTAACAAATCTGATACATACCTTGTATCCTGGGCCTAGTTGATGGATGGCGAATATCTGAGCAGGGTTTAACGCTTCACTGAACACATAGATGGCTCCGAGCTGTCCGCAGAACACTCGGTTGGCGTCTGCCGTCTCAGATGAGCCGAGGAAACATTTGTCATAGCTCTGTGATAAGCACATGAAGAAAACAGCTTGGAGTTCTCCATAACAATCTCTCAAAAGTGAATAGTAGGGGAAAAAAATAAGAGCGCTGGTGTGGAAATATAGTGGATGTCAGTATGCAAACTTCATAATAAGCGAGTAACGGTTCACAGCGTAATTGAGATGTAGCATTACAGATATGTTATTCAGTGCTGAAACTTGCCTATTAGTTTAATCAAAATCGGCACCCAGGAGATCTGAGGTTAAGCACTGCTGGTCCAACCTTTTAATTATCTTACATTGCTTTCAGTGAAGTACAGCAAAACAGAGGCAAAGGTCTGTGTCCTTTATTTTTAATCCAATCGTTGAATCCCCCAGATAATATCTCATAAAAGGTTTGAACTGGCAAAATAAAGTCTGTATTTCAGATTTTCTACATTAGAGTGTTCCATTTTATTAATCGGAATTTTTGTTGTGTGTATTCCAAACATAATTACATTTTGTTATATTTTTTACTCTGGGTAGATTACTTACAAATTGTAGTCGATTGCTGATTTCAATTTACAATTAAAATTGTAGTTAGCAACGTAATCCATTACACATTTTAGTAATATAATCAGACTACTTTTTGATTACTTTTAGATTACTTCTGAATCGATGAAATGTTGAGAAACCACTTCTTAAAACTGAAAGGATTTTCTTAAATCCAGTGGTCGAATGCTGTGTGGCCTCTCAACTTTCTGTGTAATTATAACCAACTTACTAGTGACCGGTCTTTGTGTGAATATTCACAAAACTGGAAGACTTTCTGAATGTATATAAGTGGTAGGTTATTTTAGGAAGGTACATTTAAAATATGAAAAAGAAGAATTAGGGAGAATCAATAAATTATGAACAGTTTACTGATATTGTGTGAATAATATGTAATCATGTAATTAATAAAAAAGTAACTGTAGTCTGATTACAAGTATTTTAAAAGGTAATATAATCTAAGTACTTAATATTTGGAATCTGATTACATAATCCAGATCACATGCAATCAATTACTACCCAGCATGTACATACAGTATATATAGAGAGAGAGAGGGAGACAACCAATATTTCAAAAAAATGTTTTACTATTATTTAAATAACTATTATAATTATTAATATATAAACATATATAAAGGCATATCTAAAATATACATAAAAAACAAACTACTGATTAAGAAAAGGATTTTTGCAGCATGCACTACATGATTGGCTTGATTTGCTGACAGAAATAAACGTCATTTATGTATTCTGAAACTGTGATAAATCAATGCATCTTTCATAGTTTAATTTCACACTGTGCACACAGTGGTGATGATAATACTCTGAGACAACATCCGGCAGCTAAGACTGAGAGAGTGATAACAAAGTGGTCTTACGTCGTTGGTGTTGACGTGCCAAGCCATGTCGCCGTAGGAGACAAGCTGTCCATTTACGTAGCAGCGAATCTCACTGTTCCTCCAGCGGTTGTAGATGTGAACGATGCTAATCATGTACCACTAGAGAAGGAAAAAAGTTATTACATTGTGATTTTGTCAGCATTAAAACAAAATAAACCCTTTTCATTTTATTCTCTTGTACAATCAATGATTTATCAGTGTTTGCTATTCTAGGAAATAGAATTATAGGTTTGCTATAAGGAAATAGATAGATACACTGTCAAGTTGCATTTATACATCATAAAAATTATATAAAAGACTGATAATATAACAGTAATTGAATTACATGCAAATTCCAACAATACTTCTTGATAGCAGACTAATTCAGTAATCATCAAAACCTTTTAAATTAAAGGCTAAATGCTGCAATAGTCTATGAAATCAGGAAGATCAGGAAAAATATAGAATTTCATTTTTTTTTTTAAATAGCAGTATTTTTCTTTCCTGGCACTGGAAGCACACATTTCAACCCAAAACCGTTTTCATGGGCAGCCAGCAGAAGGTCTAATGCAGTCAAATTTGCATTTAGATATAAATAATACATCAGAGGAGAGGAGAGGAGAGGAGAGGAGATGTCAATGTGCCACCACACGAAATAGTCACGATATGGTGCAGTGTTTCAAACACACTCTGGAGTGAAGCTCACACCTTTCAGGACAAGAAGCATGCTGCTTGTTGTATATTTTTAAAGCAACGTAACACGCAACAGAGCTGTTCTTAATCATTTTCTCTTTCATACTAGTTCATTTTTAAAACAACATGACTAACATATCCATTTAGCTATTTTGAAAAATACATACATATATGCATGAACTATGATATTGCCATTCTGCTGCTGCAACCTTTCTGCAGTTTTTTTTATTTTATTTTATCCTCAAAACAAAACCACATTAAAAATCTAATAGAGTTGCTATAAAGCCTGTTACCACTTATATTAAGTCACTAAATCAAAATGTCAAAGCTGTTATTAGGAAGACGAAAAGAAAAAGAAAAACCCTATATAAGTCTAAACCACTGGAGATCAGAAGAATTAAACGGTTCATTTACATGTGCATGATAGAGGAAAATCTGATTAATCCAAAGAACTGCATTTGGCTTCTTAAACTAACAATGAACTGTTGTTTTAATCATGAGTTGGATCACAAGAAGTATGAATCACATCGCTTATCTGCACATTATTCCACTAAACACATGAAAATGAAAACATTCAATTGAATTTCTTAAATTCTGTCTCCCACTAAAGTGCTCATCCCATTTATTTGTTTGTTATAAATTATTTATAATTATTTATTATTATTATTTAAATTTTTATTATTAAGTTTTTAATTTATTTTATTTTGCATTTAACACAAAGTTGCATCATCTTATGTTGCACATCAACTCACAGTTTCACACAATATGCTAATTTGCCCCCATGAATGTACGATTAAACTGTAAGATTTAATTTTGGGAAAGACTTTCACGACCTTGGCAAATCCCTTAAGGCTCAAAAGAGCAAGTTTGAGTAATTAACATTTATAAAGATTACACCAGCTAAGAGCATTAAACATTGAGTAGAAACAAGGAAATCATTTATTAGACAGATGTTTCAAAACTGCAGCAGCTGTGCAGTGATTTCCAAGAGATTTCCCTTCAATTCAACAAAACAAAAACAGAAAATGGCCTCAGTTATCTTATGTCCTGGGGTTTAGTAACAGTTTGTAAACATATTTAGCCCAGTTAACTGGATCATGCATTTTCCGACACAGCTTCGTGATTTTCAATGAGCATCACAGCAAGAAAATTCACAAGTGCATCCACTCAATTCTTACTCCTTCACAGAGAGAGAGAGAGAGAGAGAGAGAGAGAGAGAGAGAGAGAGAGAGAGAGAGAGAGAGAGAAAGCTGGAAATGAAAGCCTACCTTGCGGGGCTGAAAGTCATATTTCACGCAGTGCTGGAAGCCCTTTCCTTTCGACTTCAACGACGTCACAATCAAGCAGTTTCCCACAAAATGTGCCGAGTAGCCAATGCCTTTGCTTGTGCGGAAACTGAAATTGAAAAATTGAAAAATACACAATATATAGCAATTCATAACACATGGATGTGCTATATCTACATCATTTCTTGTTTTAAAAAAAGCTTAAACCAGTCTAAGATGTGATCCTGTGAATCCCAGTTTAGCCTTGAAAAACCACCTAAACTATATATATGTATATAAAAAAAAAACAAAAAAAAAAATTTATACTACCTTACAGTTGGTTTGATGTTTTTTTTTTTCTTGTCCCAGCCTGGTTTTCTATAGGAGTTTTGGACACTTTGGCTGGTCAGACTGGAAAAAGCATCTTTCTGACCAGTTAAACCAGCATAACTCCAGTTTAGCCAAACTAGGAGATCATTTTAAACCAGCTAAGACCATGTTAGACCAGCTACAACCAGCAAACCATCTTAGGCTAGTTTATGATGTTCTACTTCAGCAGGGCAGGGAAAATCCCATCTTAAGCTTTCTAATAACTACTTGTTTTGCTGGCCTCAGCTGGTTTTAAGCTGGTCTACTAGTTTGACCAGACCTGAAAACCAGCTTAGGCTGGTCTACAATGTTTTTAGCACAGTATGTAGGTTTCTTGACATGCATTAACTAGTTTTCTGTTCCAAAACATAGGAGCGAGTAAAGATATCTTACTGTATGTCAAATGTCAAAGACAGTTTTGTGTTCTCTGTTCGCCACAATAGAAGTATTCACCGTCACATACAAGAAAACTAACAGCACAAGAGAGCGTTTTAGTGTCTTCAAGAGCAAAGAATGAGTGTGATTCTCAATGTGAATCAATACTCTGTTTTTCTTTCCGAAACATCTCCTTTTATTCCGAATCTGTATCATGCACAGACTGAACTCTGAGTCTGTGTGAGCGGTCCTGCGCTTGGCAGCTCCAGGCTACAGATCTGGCAACACAACAGCAAGCAGGACCCAGCGCTCGCTCTCAAACGGTAGCTAGTGTTATTAGCATGGCAGCCTTCAACAATGCTGTTTTGTAACCTCCTCACAAAGTCTGGGGCAGTTTCTCAATGCCTGGATCTACATAATGTATGGAGGAACTGAACTCAATATTGTGAACTCAAGAACATTTAAGAAACGCTTTTTTTTTAATGGATGTTGTCCTTCTTTCTCTCTCTCAAAACACACTCACTCCTTCTCCCTCGAGGAACATTTTCCCTCGCTCCTGGAATCCTGGCCAATAAACATGCGTCTGCGCTATTGATCTGAGCTCTAATTACCCACAAGTCTCTACATATGATGCTCTTTTTGCCTGGCTGACATTAAAAACCCAAATTAATGTCTATTTCCACCCTAGTGCCCCTCTGCAGCGATTTTCCAGTGATTCCAGAACATTCTGCCCTGGGTTCAAACACCTATTGGTTTAATCGGCAGAATCTGACCTAATTCCCTTTTATGCTTGCATAATCCACCACATCATCAAAAAACAAAATCCTCTAACAAAGCTCATTATATAAGTGGCAAAGCAGCCAGAACTCTCTCTCTCTCTCTGTGTTAAACACTAAAACAAAGCCACTCAGTTTAATTTACTTACAGAAGCAGGCGCTGAAGGTCATTTTCTTTTCTGCTAAGCAAGTTTTATCTATGAGTTGACAAAGTTATATATAACCGCATTAAAGCGTAGGCTGTGAATGTAAGTCACCAGTAAAGGTAGGGTTTGTCTTTGTCCATGTTGATGTTGTTCAGAGGATCCATGCGGAACCAGGTGTTGAGGGTGAAGCCGTTCTGATAAGGCCATTTAGCAATGGGAGGTAACGCAATCGCCTGGCAAAAAAACAGAGGGCAAAAATGTCTTGTAGTCTGTATATGTTATGTATAAATCTTTTAACATGCTAGACATTTGTTTATATCCATCCAGCGCTTCAAACAAATAAACAATTTATGCCATCAAGTTATTGTTCACAAAATACAAATAGCCAGTCAAACAAATATATGTAAAATAGTCACAAGCACCATATTAGTTTTTAAATGTACTAGTATTGGTCGAAATTGGATATACTGTATATATACACTCTAAAAAATGCTGGGTTGTTTCAACCCAATGTTGGGTCAAATATGGAC